AGCTTGGTGGAGTCAGTGTGCAAAGCCATGAGAGCTTTCCCCTACGTGAAGATGACACAGGACGATGCAAAGTGGAAGCATCCGGATTTGCGGAAAGTGCGACGGGTTGGGGGCATTGGCGCAGTGGTTGATGTTCCAGTGGGGTACGGAGAGGCGCCGAATGCACAACCTGCTTGTCCAGCACACGATCCGAGGGTGGCGGAGACAAATGGGCATGTGGACGAGGAGACGGAGTCCGGAGGAGTGCCGGTGGAGGTCCAGTGGGGAGATGTCGTCGAGCTCTGGGAGTATGATCCACACCCCGTTCACGGAGCCCGGCCATCATCACTCGCCTCTTCTCTTGTGGTGCGTGCGCACACGGGAGAGGGCGTGCACTCCGATCTCATTGAAGGAAGCACCCCTTGGACCTCCCGCGACGACTGTGCAAGTGAGTTTGCGGCTAAGAGCTTGTGTGTGTGTGTGTGTGTGTGTGTGTGTGTGTGTGTGTGTGTGTGTGTGTGTGTGTGTGTGTGTGTGTGTGTGTGTGTGTGTGTGTGTGTGTGTGTGTGTGTGTGTGTGTGTGTGTGTGTGTGTGTGTTTGTGTGGTGTGTGTGTGTGTGTGTGTGTGTGTGTGTGTGTGTGTGTGTGTGTGTGTGTGTGTGTGTGTGTGTGTGTGTGTGTGTGTGTGTGTGTGTGTGTGTGTGTGTGTGTGTGTGTGTGTGTGTGTGTGTGTGTGTGTGTGTGTGTGTGTGTGTGTGTGTGTGTGTGTGTGTGTGTGTGTGTGTGTGTGTGTGTGTGTGTGTGTGTGTGTGTGTGTGTGTGTGTGTGTGTGTGTGTGTGTGTGTGTGTGTGTGTGTGTGTGTGTGTGTGTGTGTGTGTGTGTGTGTGTGTGTGTGTGTGTGTGTGTGTGTGTGTGTGTGTGTGTGTGTGTGTGTGTGTGTGTGTGTGTGTGTGTGTGTGTGTGTGTGTGTGTGTGTGTGTGTGTGTGTGTGTGTGTGTGTGTGTGTGTGTGTGTGTGTGTGTGTGTGTGTGTGTGTGTGTGTGTGTGTGTGTGTGTGTGTGTGTGTGTGTGTGTGTGTGTGTGTGTGTGTGTGTGTGTGTGTGTGTGTGTGTGTGTGTGTGTGTGTGACTGATTTTGTTTACTATTGCACATGTTCGAGCAGGGCGATGAGATAGCCACCTTGACTGATGTTAATTTGCAGGGCTCGTGGGAGGGGCTGGTGATCCTGGCGATGGAGACGGAGACAGACCTGGATGTGCAACAGAGGCAGCACCACTACCACGGTGGACGAGGCGTCGGAAACGAAAACGCGACGGTGATGACCAGACCGCGGACGATGAAGAAGTGACGGTGGCTTCACGCTTAGCATCGCACTTTCACTATGTCATGATGAGGTGTGCTGCACGAATGGCAGATGGAAAGACGATGACACCTGAAGAGGTGGCTGAAGAGCTGGGGCTTGCAGCCAACCATTGGGCAGGTGATCATTCGGGGTGTGGCCAATCGGGACGCATATCTCGCTGCGTGACGGAGGGGTGGGGCATCGAGACAACGATTTACGAGAAAGGATCGGAGACTCACAAGGCGGTGCAGGATTGGCTTGCGAAGCGATGCGGGCCTGACAAGGTGAAATCGCTTGTGCATGGTGCGTCTAGTTCCATCAACGAACCCTTTCACTCGATCATTCTCAAGTACGCTCCAAAAAGGATTCGGTTTCAGGGAAGTTTTGAAGCAAGAGTGGCGCTTGCTGCTCTACACTGGAACAACTCCATGGATCGGCTGGTGACCGCGTATCGCACGCGCCAACGACAGGTCACTCGGATTCAGCGGGGCAACAAGGATCGGACACTAGGGGCAATGGGTTGGTCGTGGCTTGATGGCATAATAGAATCGTGGCTCAAAACATTGAATGGGGAGGGAGACGATGGGACGGATGGGGAGCCGACGAGTCCTACTCGTCCTGGTGGTACAGGGAGCACCACCAGCGCCCAAGGGGGTTTGGAGCCTGACACGCCTGCACCGCTACATGAGAGGAGCGACCCGCCTCGTCCACTGGAGCGACCACGGACGCGACGTTGTCTGCGTAAGTTTGTTCCCGTTGTATTCGCAAAATGCCCACTCTCCTCACTCCTCATAACGTCCAGTAACAATTCCCACCGAATTACAAGCTTATGACGCCACCTTTACTGCAATTGTTATATAGGTGACATCTCCAACTACCCATGCTAAGCGTGGCCGGCCCTCTCTCGGCGTTCGTCGCGGACCGAAGCTACCATTCCGCATACCACGTCAACAATCGAAACCGGAGGTTAGAACACACGCTAAATAGTGGGTAAAAATCCCTAAACCCCTCATCCCACCACCATCCTTCACCACTTCTTTGTAGCGAGGTAATTGCACACACACTAGTTTACCCCACCGCAATGGTAGAGGCAACTCACACTTATAGCCCCTAAAACACATGCAACATTCTCGTCTAAACCCTCACTCACATTCTCCTAAACCCCTCCCTTCCTAGCCATTTTTCATCCAACCCCCCCTCTATAACTTCGTAACCCTCGTCGGCTCCCCTGTGATCCGTCAACTATCATGTCATTCCCCCTGCCCATGCAGACTTGGAGTGTGTTTGGCGCGGCGTCAGCACAACCACAACTTCAACAGCAGCAAACAGAGATAACAGATACATCTGTCTCCCCTGCCCCTGCACAACCACCTGTAGCGCGAGCCGGCGCAGCAGGACGAGGGCCAGCAGCCTCAGCCCTTACACAACCGGTGGCAGTAAAGGCAGTGGGGAGGCGATCAGCCTACGATTGAGGTTATTGTTGCACCACTATTGTTCGCCACTCTCATGCCTCATATTTTCCCAGATTTCCCACAACCCATCCACCTCCCACCCTTATTCAATGATTATTACGGTCGTAATCTTGGTCCACTCATATATACCGACGACATTTTCATCAACATCTCCCAAGACATGTGGGTTCACACATTCATTGTTGTAATGTTTCCCCATAAGCTTCCCATCTTCCCACCTACCATTACCACATCTGTCCATTCATCCCCATTGCTGTTACCATCTCGAACTCACCATTCCTCTCTAAAACTGCACACACCGAATGCGCCGTTGCCACTCTCCCTCCCCTTCCCTACTGTTCGTCGCGCCCCATTCCCAGCCTGTGGGGGTTTTTCTCAATTCAGACCAAGGAGTGTGGTCGTTAGCCATCGAGACTCACTGCTCCATTTCCCCATCGCTCCTCTCTCCTGTACCCTTACTTGTCACCTTCTCTGCCCTGCCCCACCCCCACCCCCCAGCAGGTTTCTCATCAACCTCCTCCCAGCCTCTCACCTCCTGCCCCCGTCCCTGCTGTCACCGCTTCAAGAACCCGCCCTATCACATTTGTACTTCCCTCTGACAAATGCCCAAAGTATCCGGGTGCCAACATATCCGTTAGTGGGTCCTGAGTATGTTGACTAAATTGCAATCCTGAAATGCAGCTTTTTTTTTTCTCTCTCCATTTTATTTTAGTTACTAAGTAGCCAATATGACACGCAAATATCGGGGTTGAAATGTTGGAAATACGGTACAACTTCCCTTCACTTCAGGCTCTCCCTGAATGTATCATACGACAAGCTAAATATGTCCTGCTACATGCAAGTGCGCTGGATGATGGCAAGCATTCAAACTCTACCTAGCACGGGCCCCTAAACCCATACTAACTAAGGCAGGATTATAACCACACCAACAACTATCCCTAAAACACATACGGTACAGTACTGCGTGTTTCTGTGGCATCAATTGCGTAATACTACCGGTATAACAACAATACATCCTATACCGGGGATGGACAACCCTGTGTATGTCGCTGTATAAAAACATGTGGCTAATCCGGTGCACATTATCACTTTTCTTCTCAACGGACAGATGGAGAGTAGTGGGGATGCAGATGCATATCGTGGGCCGTAAGTCCTGGGTGTGATGTGGGAATAACCCTGCAGGAAGGGGGGGAGTGGGTATAGGCCAAGAAGATCATGCAAAGAAAGAAGGGAATGGGAGGAAAACAGCAACGAGACATGCAACAGAGCAGCAGAGAGGGAACCCAGGAGAGTTGTAGACAGGCTAGGGGAGGTAGGGGCAGACATGGAAGAGTGAGCAGCTCACAGTGAGAGCAAATGACAGAAACAGCAAAGGACAGTGTGAGCTAGATGACAGGGTGAGCTAGATGACAGGGTGAGCTAGATGACAGGGTGAGCTAGATGACAGGGTGAGCTAGATGACAGGGTGAGCTAGATGACAGGGTGAGCTAGATGACAGGGTGAGCTAGATGACAGGGTGAGCTAGATGACAGGGTGAGCTAGATGACAGGGTGAGCTAGATGACAGGGTGAGCTAGATGACAGGGTGAGCTAGATGACAAGGTGAGCTAGATGACAGGGTGAGCTAGATGACAGGGTGAGCTAGATGACAGGGTGCTAGATGACAGGGTGAGCTAGATGACAGGGTGAGCAGGACACCACATGCTGCTCTGCTGCTGCCCCACACTTCCACCACCACCACGCTGATGGCGCTCCACCCACTCCCCATGCCACTGCTGCTGCCGTTCCCTACTGCCACCACCGCTACTGCCTGCAGGAGCCATGTTGAGTGGAGCAGTGGGTAGGGAGGGGGGAGCAGCGCGTAGGGAGGGGGGAGCAGCGCGTAGGGAGGGGGAGCAGCGCGCAGGGAGGGGGGAGCAGCGCGTAGGGAGGGGGGGGCAGCGCGTAGGGAGGGGGGAGCAGCGCGTAGGGAGGGGGGAGCAGCGCGTAGGGAGGGAAGGAAGGCGCGATCTAGAGAGGGACCGGATAGTCTAGTGGGACGGAGTTGACAGGAGCGAGAGACGAGCGTGAGAGATCGATGGGGCAATTTCCATGTGTGAGCGGTGGGTTTGGGCGATCGCGGCGGGAGGAAGGGCGAGACGGCATTGAGTGAGCGATGCGAATGAGGGACGTCAGGCGATTGGCGGAGAGGGATGGGAAGCGCGGCAATGACGGGCGGGGCAGAAGCGACGGGTGGGACGGGAGGAATGGGAGGCGGGGACGGATGGGACGACTGGAACGGGAGTGACGGGAGAGGCGGGGAGGCCGACCACGCGACGACGGCGAAGGAAGGAGCGGGGACGACGGGAGGGACGAGACCAACAGGCGTCGCGGGAGCGACGGGAAAGACGGGAGCGACGGGAGCGTGAGCTACCGGAGCCAACGGGAGAGGCAGATCGCGATATAAGTAAAGCGCATACCGCACACGAGCGATGGGATTGGGAGTGACGTGAGGAAGGGGAATGACCTACAACATGTGTTCCGTCAAAATTCTAAGTTTGATGCTGGGTGATGGGCGTACTTTTCGGCTATATCAGAACGGGTGAGCCGTGGGTACCTACTACACAACGAGTCTAGAACGGTAGTCTCAACTTTCAAGTTTCCGTGAGTGTGAACAGTGGACTCAGTTTGATTGTTTCTCGCGATCCTCGCTCGGAGTTTTTGCTTGGGTGCATTTGGCCAATCAACTTCCGACTCTTCAATCCCTTTTCGGACAATCGCGAGAGAGAGTAACTTCAAAGCAGGTTACCGTGTTCTTAGGCGAAATCATGTTCAAGAATCTTGAACTTGAACCCTTGCCATTCTAGACTCAGGCTTTAAAACCGAAATGCAAAATAGTGAACTCGGGGCCAGCTTGAAAGGGGGCCTGCCGAGCGAAACAATTTTCTCTCGTTTGCACTGTTCCTTTGGGAGCATTTTTGCAGATCGAACAGATCTGATTGGTTCTCGCCAAACCCAAAAAAAAGGAAACACAGCACGTCAGGCGTCGCACATCTGTTTGGGAAGGCGCACACCTCTAGCACCGCGATCGCCCACGCACATCCTTGCGATTTTGGGCCCAGCTTGGGGTTCAAGTTGGGCCTGGGTGAACTACTAGTTCTTCCGATCATACATCTCTGTTTTTTAGTTATAAATAGCCTGCCTAGCCATAGAACCATCAACTTAGGCCGTTGTGGTTTCAATTTTGACGCACAGTGAAGCTGGCATGGTTGTGTAGTACTTTGTGCCGTTTCGAACGCACTCTCGCCGCCTTCCCATCGATTCTCGCTCGCCCTCCCGTTCCGATCATCCTCGCGCCGTCCGTTCCGTCGTTCGTCCCGTCGCCGTCCCGTCGCCTTCCCGTCACCGTCCCGTCGCCGTCCCGTCGCCTTCCCGTCGCAGTCCCGTCGCCCTCCCTCTCCGTTCGCCCTTCAACTCTCCGTTCGCCCTTACCCTCTCCGTTCGCCCCTCCCCTCTCCATTCTCCCTTCCCCTCTCCGTTCGCCCTTCCTCTCTCCGTCGCGCTTCCCCTCTCCGTTCGCCCTTCCCCTCTCCGTTCGCCCTTCCCTCTCCGTTCGCCCCTCCCCTCTCCGTTCGCCCCTCCCCTCTCCGTTCTCCCTTCCCCCTCTCCGTTCGCCCCTCCCCTCTCCGTTCGCCCTTCCCCTCTCGGTTCGCCCTTCCCCTCTCCGTCCCGCTTCCCCTCTCCGTTCGCCCTTCCCCTCTCCGTTCGCCCTTCCCTCTCCGTTCGCCCCTCCCCTCTCCGTTCGCCCCTCCCTTCTCCGTTCTCCCTTCCCCTCTCCGTTCGCCCCTCCCCTCTCCGTTCGCCCTTCCCCTCTCCGTTCGCCCTTCCCCTCTCCGTTCGCCCTTCCTCTCTCCGTCGCGCTTCCCCTCTCCGTTCGCCCTTCCCCTCTCCGTTCGCCCTTCCCCTCTCCGTTCGCCCTTCCCTCTCCGTTCGCCAGTCCCCTCTCCGTCGCGCTTCCCCTCTCCGTTCGCCCTTCCCCTCTCCGTTCGCCCTTCCTCTCTCCGTTCGCCCTTCCTCTCTCTGTGGCGCTTCCTCTCCCGTCGCCCCTCTTCTCTCCCGTCGCCCCTCTTCTCTCCCGTCGCCCCTCTTCTCTCCCGTCAACCTTCCTCTCTCTCCTTACTACGTCGCTCTCGCTGTTCTCGCTCGAAGTACTACCGTGCCTGATTAAATTGTTTCTTTAAGGTGGCATTGGGCACTGAGAGGGACGTGGGTTATGCGGCTCTCTCCTTTTGGAACTACAAATTAACTTGGATTTATTTTCTGTTAGAAAATTTCATCGGGTGAACCATTCAGCCTTGGTGTTCAAACATTACTCACGCTCTCCCCGTCGCATCTCCCTCGCGCTCACGCTCTCCCCTCCCATCTCCCTCACGCTCACGCTCTCCCCGTCGCATCTCCTCTCGCTGCCCCTCGCCCTCGCATTTGCTAGCGAGCCCCGCTGTTATTCGGCTATCTCGTCCGTCCCGTCGCCCTGCCATAGCCCTGTCGCCCTCACAATCACCCCTCCCTTCATCTCGCCCTCACGATATCCATCCAATTCCGTCGCAATCGATGCCTCTGCTGCACTTAGTCGTATTCTTCAGTGTATGTGTGTGCTTGGGATCTTGTCTGTGCTGTTGCTAGATGTGCATTTGATGAAGTCACAACTCGTCAAATGGTTGCACTGCCTTGCACGTCGCAGCTCTTTGCGCCAAATTCGCACATCTGTTTGGCTGCCAATCAAAATTGAGAAAGAACTTTGTTCCTTGTTCACTCCGAAACTTGTCTGGAGCTGGAAAAAAAACACACGCACAGTACTTCAACCTTCTACAACACTACAAAGAAACTTGGGTCTTCAAGTTGGACCCAACTAGAAGGGGGGGGTCACTATTTTAGCTGCTGGCTTTAAACGGTACACTAGCAATTAGTCATTTCACCCATTCGCTAAACTACCGTAGGAATCCTCCAAAGCTTGCTCAATTGCACTAATGAATGGTACTAAAAGAATTAATATAAATATGGTACACACAAAGCAACAAGGAAATTCGCTACAAACACAACTACAACAAAAACACATACTAATGCAGCCCCTTACTAACCGCAACAGCCATGGGATAGGAGATACAGCACGATCCCTAGCTCTCCCCATTTCCATCCGCACCGCACCCTCCTCTCCCATGCCCTTGTGCTGATGCTGCCAGCTAAGGAGAAATAAGCGATGAAACCTTACCATTTATTATCTTCATTATTGTGGTCATTATTCGCAGTAGTAGTAGTATAGTAGCACTCTTATTATTGTAGAACGGAAAGCGTAGCATGGCGTGTGGACCGCAGAGCCCAACCTTCCTGGATGCCGAGTGGAAGACTGACTGGCTGGCTGTGGGCTCGACTCGATGCCACTCGACTCGATGCCATGCCACTTATGACAAACTGATGTATGATACAAGAAAAGGGACACTGGTCGCCCGTGGTTGCTGCAGTTAATGCTGCCTATCATCGCTCCTAGTGCTGCTGGTGCTTGCGGTGCCACCAGGAGCAGGCAGGGGCCTCCCTCTCTGCAGTATGATCTGTCGCAGTGTCATGCAGATGTTGCTGCGAGATGCCTCCTCCACTCCTCCTCTTAGACCTGCTGCTGCTCCTGCTGCTCCTGATCCTGCTGCTGATGATCTTGCAGACGTTGCGGGTCTCCAGGACGGGGATGATTGGACAGGAGGAGCACAGGCTACTGTTGCTGCTGCTGGCGGTCGCAGCCTGCTGCTACTGTTGCCCGACAGAGAGATGTACCGCCCAGGGCTGCCGCTGCTGCTGCGCCTAGAACCATAAGCAGCAGCTGCTGGTGCTGGTGCTGCCGCTGCTGGTGCAGGAGCAGGAGCTTGAACGCAAGCCGGGGGAGGAGCAGCAGCAGCAGCAGCAGTAGAAGGAGGAGCACCGTAAGCAGCATGAGCAGCAGAGGCAACGCTGTTTCGGATGGTAGCAAGAGGGGTTCTTGTGGAGTGCCGACCACTAGCACCACTGCTGGTACTTCCACCACCACCAGAAGCACCAGCACCACCAGAAGCAGCAGCAGCAAAACGAGCACCAGCAGCACCACCACCCACACCGCCACCACCGCTGCAGTGGCCGCTGCTGATGTTGCTGCTGCTGGGCTGGACCTGACTCTGCCGAGCTGCGTTTGCTCCGTTGCTCCTGGTGTTGCTCCTGGTGTTGCTGTTGCTATTGCTGTTGGTGCTGGCAATCGCCTTGGGGTTGGCGGCGCTGCTGCTGCTGTTGCGCGTGCCAGACGGCCTCAGCTGTCGTCCGCCTAGAGTGTTGCCTCTTGTCGTGTTACCACCAGCAGCGCCACCACCGGCACCACCAGCAGCATTAGCAGCACCAGCACCAGCACCAGCACCAGCAACAGCACCAGCACCACCACCACCACCAATCCAGCCGCTGACAGCATTGTTACCAGTAGCACTACCAGCTACTCCCCCACTTCGCCTGACGCCTTGCCGCTCCTCCACCGTCCCCACCCTCATCATCTTCCCTCCAGGATCACTCCCTTGCACCGGCACTGCCACACTTCCCTCCTCCCCACCCTCCTGTCTCACTCCTCCTCCTCCTCCTCCTCCTCCTCCTCCTCCTCCTCCTCCTCCTCCTCCTCCTCCTCCTCCTCCTCCTCCTCCTCCTCCTCCTCCTCCTCCTTCTCCTCCTCCTCCGAATCCTCCTACCCCTCCGGCTCCTCCTCCTCTCTCTCCTCCTCCATCTCGTTCCATCATGCTGCGGCTGCGCTTGAAAGGAGAAGCAGATGCTGAGAAGGCGTGTGCAGGAACATTGGACCAACCAAGGGGACTCATGTCCAGACCTCCATTCCACATGCCGCCATGCATCCCCCCCTCCATCTCCCCTCCCATACCCATACCCATACCCATACCCATACCCATGCCCATGGGCATGTCAACATGTGGCTCGGAAAGCATGGTAGAGAGATCATACTCCAGCTCCAAGGCCTGCTCATGCGTTTGAAAGCTCTGCACATGTGCACTGAAGCTCTGCTCGTGCGCTTGAAAGCCCTGCTCCTGCTCCTGCTCATGCTCCTGCCCATGCGCACTGAAGTTTTCCACATAGGCATCAACGGCTTTCAGCTGCGCTTCAAAGAGCGAGAGCGCATGCGCATCATTGGAAGAGTGCTGCCCCTGCTCGCCTGCTGCAGACCCTCCTGCTGCTCCTCCTCCTGCTGCTGCTGCTGCTGCTGCTGCTGCTGCTGCTGCTGCTGCTGGTACAGGTGCTGCTGATAAAGCTGCTGGTGCTGCGTCCGATAGCGATGCGGCCGATGGGTCTCCAGTCTTCTCTCTGGTGTCACCGGGAGAAAAAACAGCTGAAGTCAGCTGTGAGCTGGGCGGTGGCATGCGGGTTGAATCCTCAGCATACCCGCCTGGCTGCATGGATTGAGGCAGCAGCCAGTCAGGCGGGTGGTGCAGAGGAACCAAGCCCGTGCCACCACTTACAGACACATCCCGGTGACCAAGAGAAGCAGAAGCAGAAGCAGAAGCAGAAGCAGAAGAACCAAGGGCCGTGGCAGAAGCAGCGGCAGAGACGGCAGCAGATGCAGAAGCCGGAGCAGCAGCAGACAGAGCGAGAGTATTATCATTCTCCGCATTGATACCATTAGCAGCAGCAGCACAAACAGCAGCAGAAGGAGCAGCAGCAGCAGCAGCAGCAGCAGCAGCAGCAGCAGCAGCAGCAGCAGCAGCAGCAGCAGCAGCAGCAGCAGCAGCAGCAGCAGCAGCAGCAGCAGCAGCAGCAGCAGCAGCAGCAGCATCAGCATCAGCATCGTCAGCAGCAGCGGGATTCTCCTCGTCTGCATGGCACGGCGCGTCATCCTGCGCGATCAGAAAATCCGGAAAATCCCCGAAATCAAGCCCAAGGTCGAAGTCGTCGATATCAATACCACCCAGCTCTCCTGCTGCTCCACCCGCTGCTGCCCCTGCTGCAGCGCCGGCAGAGAGAGGCGAGGTCCCGGAAAGGGGCGTGCAGTTGGAAAGCGGTGTGGTGCCGGAAAGGGGTGTGTTGTTGGAGAGAGGAGTGTTGCCTGCACACGGTGACAGCCAGATCTCTGGTTCATCTTCCTCCTCCTCATCCAGCCATGTGGGGATACCAGAAGCATGTGGAATCGGCGCCGTGTCAACGGCAGGAGCGGTGGTTGTTGTGGCAGCAGCAGCAGCAGCAGCAGGAGCAGCAGCTGCAGCAGGGGTAGGAGCAGGAGCAGACGCACAAGCAGGAACAAGTGCAGGAGCAGGCGCAGGAGCAGGAGCAGGAGAAGGGGTGAAATGGCACCCCACACCACTGAAACCACTCAATCCACTGGCACTCTCACCAGCCACCACCGTTGCTGCTGCTGCTGCTGTGCCTAACGTCTCCTTGCTGTTCCCGAACGAGTTGCTGCAGCGACCGCTGCTGCTGTTGCTCCTGGGACCTGCGGTAGAGAGGTCATCAGGTGCAGCAGCAGCAGCAGGAGACGGACGAGCAGCAGAAATTGCAGCAGCAGCAGCAGGAGCGGCAGGAGCAGGGGAAGGAGCCGAAGCAGGGGGGACTGGCGTGGAGTAATATGCAGGGGGAGAGGGGGATGGTAACACATCCATCCCCGGCATATCCATGCCTTCATCGTCAGCACAATCATCAGCATCATCAGCATCAGCAGCACCATTGCCGTAGCCATCATAACCATCACCCAAACCTCCCTCCATCTCTCCCTCCATCTCTCCCTCCATCTCTCCTTCCAGTTCTCCCGCCATCCCTCCCTCCATCCCTCCCTCCATACCCATGCTACCTTCACACATGCTCGCATCCAGCTCCGATCCCATCCCCATGCCCATCCCCATGTCACCCATACCCATACCCGCACCCATCCCCATCCCCATCCCCATCCCCATCCCCATACCCATACCCATACCCACGCCCATGCCCATATCAGGAACCATGCCAGCAGCAGCAGCGGCAGCGGCAGCAGCAGGAAGAGGAGCGGACATGGCACGGGGAGGCAGCTGGGCGACGGATGGGTGGGACCCCTTGTTGTACACACGGCACAGCACGAGCGAACCCTGCATGGGGAGAGAGGGCAGGCACAACAAGGAAGGAAACATCTTTTTAGCACGGGGAGGCTGCTGGGCGAGAGGTGGATGGGTGGGACCCCTTGTTGTACACACGGCACAGCACAAGCGAGCCCTGCATGGGGAGAGGCGGCAGTTGCGACAGGGAAGGAAGGAGAAGAAAGGACCATTCGTTGGCAAGGGCATGGCATATCTAATAAGTGCAGCACACAATTAATGAATCATCACGACAGAGCATCACAATCACAATCACAATCACCATCACCATCACCATCACCATCACCGCACGCACGCATCACAATCACCACCACACTTACCACAGGTCGCCGGCCGCTGCTGCTGCGCTGCTCCAGGCGATACTCATGCATGACCCACTCCGTCCTCCTCCCTCTCGGCGCGCGCCCTTCATAGTACACCAACGTCTTCTTCATCCCCACCACCACCCCATCCATCTGCCCATGCCCATGCCCGTGCCCGCGCGGGAACCCGAACCCGTGCGCATACCCATGCCCGTGCATGTGTGCCAGAGCGTGGGCATGCGGCGGCAGCATGTGAGGGGAGTCATAAGCTTCCCCCATATAAACTGACTGCTGCTCCTGCTGCTGGTGCTGCTGCTGCTGATGATGATAATGATTCAGCATCCGCGACTGGTTACCAGCGAACATGTTACGCTGGTGGGGTGCAAGATAACGACCATTGTCCATAGCCGAACCGCCCATGCCCGGCATGATCCCATCCCCATCCGCCCCCTCCCCCTCTTCCCCGTCCTCCCCCTCCCCCTCCTCATCCGCTACCGAAGGGTCATCCAAACATCCCCCGAACAACCCTCCCCCCCCGCGCCTGCCCAGCAACGCGCGGGACAACTGCCTCCCCACACCCCCGCCCATCCCCGCGCCCATCCCCGCGCCGATGCCCCTGCTCGCGTCCGCGGCAATGGCGGCGCCAAAGACGGGGTCGCAGTGGATGGTGCGGTCGTTGCCCGTGGCCTTCCAGTAGCCGTTGGCCGTGCAGCGGTTGGTGCGCCGCGAGTGCCCGTACTTGTGGCTTCGCGTGGAGAAGAAATACCACTCGCCGTCGCCGATGCAGCATGACACTGGGAGGAGGGGGGGAACCAGGGGGGCAGCGGGGGCAGGTGAGGAAGGGAAGGGCGGAACGGGGAAGGGAAGAGCAGGAAGGGAAGAGCAGGAAGGGAAGAGCAGGAAGGGAAGAGCAGGAAGGGAAGAGCAGGAAGGGAAGAGCAGGAAGGGTGGCGGATGAGTATCGAACGGCCGTAGATGAGTCACCACTCGCTTCTGCCGATGCCGTGAAGAGAAGGGGGAAGTGCGCAGGCAGCGGGAAAGCGCGCAACGAACGGGAGAACACCGGATATATGAGTCAACTCAAAGAGAGAGGAAAGGAGAACACGTGTACGCGCACGGTCGTGCACCGGATACATGGAACGGGCAGAAGCAGCAGCAGGCAAGATCGATCCTCGTTAAGAAGATAAGATCCCTAGGAATGGGCAGAAGCAGGCAAATTCGATACTCGTTACAGGAAAACTCACTAGGAAGCTCCCACGGCTCCATATCCAGGGCATCCAGATCTGCAATCATCGTCATCCAATCCTGCTGCTGCTGTGGCGGCGGCGGCATCTCTTCCCCCTGAAGCTCCCGCCTCCCCCCATCCGCGCGCATTCCCGCGTCGCGCCTCCCACCAGCAGCGGCGGCTGCCCGCCGTCCCGCTTGAACCGGCGGGTTAGACGGTATCACGCCAAGGGAATCGTCTGCGAGGCGCGCGCGCGGCACGAGGTAATGCGCCACGAGCTCCTCGTCCGTAGGCTTAAAACGGTAGCCAGGCGGAAGCGGCGGAAGCGCCTGCGTTTCTATTCCCTGCTCTGCCGCCGCCGGCCCGCCCCCGTGCGCCCCCACCGGGGGGTTGAGATGGACCTTGTCTGCGCCGGAGGCAGTGGCCGCGGCGGCAGCAGCCGCGGAGGCCGCCATCTTCGCTGCAGCTACAGCGGCAGCAGCCGCCGCAGCAGACGGCTTACGGGGAAGCTTATTATCCCCTCCGCCGGGGCCGGCGCGGGTCGCTCCTCCGGACATAAAGTCTTGCGCCGGCTGTCCTCCTCCCGCGCCCTGCTGCTCCGCCTCCCCTGCCACACGGGAGTCTTCCGCGGATAACTTCCGCTCAAGCGCAGCCCCTGCGGCGAACACGCGCGCGCTGCCCGCGCAGCCAACGGTTGCGCCCTGGCGGAAGCCGCCGGCGGGCTCCTTTGAGCGCTTCTTGGACATGAGGCGGCTGGAGAGATGGCGCGCATAGCCGTTGATGCCGGACGGGGCGGCAGACGCGTGCGGCTGGCCGTTCTGGGTCTGCGCTAGCCCGTGGTTAGCCCCCCGAGCCTGCGCCGGCGCGTGGCTGTTGCGCGGGTGCACGTACGCGGGTGACAGGGGCACTGTGGAGCGGGGCGACGAGTGGTAATGCTGCTGCTGCTGCCGCGGCTGGATCGGCCGAGCAAGAGGATTAGGGTGCGAAGCGGTCGGATGATTCTTCAGGCCACTCTGCTGCTGCTGCTGCTGCTGCTGCTGCTCTGTGTTGTGCTCGCGGCGAAAAGTCGAGCCGCCGCAGAGAAACATCTTGAACTGATGTGTCCGCTTAACAGTGTTTCACGACTCACAGAAGAAGATGATTCCAAACGGTAACGAGATTCCACGACAACGAGGTTCTGGTGAGTTCGACTGAGTTTATATGGAATGAATGGCACGAGGAGGCGGAGCCTTGGAGTTTCCCGCTCTAAGCGATGCGACGCGAAGATCTTTTTCTTCCCGTGGCGCTTCGTTACAGCTTTGGCAGCGAGCCTATTAATTCCGCAAAGTCGACGTGGTCACGCGGATGAGTCAACAATGGCTTCGATGACGTGTCGAGGAAGTCTGCGTTGCTCAACAGAAGCAAAAACAGGTGATAAGACGAAAACGCACAAAAACAGTATTTCGGCGATGGTTATCGTCGCGTAGCGTATCGTTCCAAGTTCGAATCCACGAATGTCTAACTCGAGAAAACAGAGGAGCTAAAGGTTAGAGGAGGCGAGATAAGAGACTAGATCCTAGAGGTGCAATGGGAGAACGGAGACCGAGAAAGAGGATCGACGGAAACCCATCTGGGGGCTATGAAACAGCGGCATGAGTAAGAGATGCGAGGGGAAGGATGACAACATCGGGACCAAGCCACGGGGTGGGGTAATGTGGGAATACGGTGTGGGGAAGGAGTAGTGTGGCGGAGTTCTGTTCGTTTTTCGAAAAGGGAGCGGGGGGTTGGAAGGAGTGAAGGGGAGAGGTGCGGGCTGGTGGCGGGGAAAGGAAGCGGTGCGTGCGCGGTGGTGTTATCGAACTCAGCGCAACAAATCCTTCGCAGCAAGGGAGGGGGTCGGGGAGAGGGGGGGGATGTGCGTGTCCGGCAGTGAGGAGTACGCGCTGGGGGGATGCGGGGAAAGGAAAGCGAAAGGAATGCCTGGCAAGTCCGAAAAAAAAAAAAATCCGCGATGCGCGTCAAGTCGAGCATTTGTTATTCGGTGACTGAAACCAAGGATGGATTCGGTCAGGGTAAATCCTGGCGTATCGTTTGAACTTTGAGATTATTGAATAATCAATAAAACTACAGCTGTTTGCTATGTTTACCAGCACACGTTTCTCATCTACATAAACTATGGGTTTCCTGATTGGCAACCCTATTGATTTGACGGTCTATGAATATGAATCGGGGCATCGGCAAAACACGACGGCATGGTGGCACCAAGTATATCCTTGTCGCGCGGGCCAAAGTTGGTCTAACCAATGAAACGGAGAGGAGTCACTGTCGAAGGCTGGTTGGTGAACGAGAGAGAAAATGTACAGCACACACCAGTGGCAGCTGGGGAAAACAAAAATGTCACAATTGTGACTTCACATTACGGGAAAAAAATGTATCCTCCACACGATGAAAAAACTTCGTATATCTCAACGGACAACACAGCAGACTCCGGCCAGCCGACGGACCATCGACGTCCATAAACTCATGTTCGCCTGCCCGACAGGCAAGAAAAAATAAATCTTAATATATTTTTGACCCCCAACGCAGAATGACTCTTGGCGGCCTCTGTCACCACCACAGCCAACACCCCGATCCACACGCTACCTAGGTAATTTCGCATCCCGCGCAGTGACCCCATGGCTTGTAAGGGCGTGTGTCTTTATACAGTATATTGCGAAACTCGTATTTTTTGCTGAACTTCATACATTTGCAACTAGGTCGACCAAGACTCGACGGTATCGACTTTTTTAACCCGAGCCGCTGCACCTCGCTTCACATGAGTCGCATGGCACACAAAAGTTCGACATTCGAAGTTGAACTTTCAAAAGCGACCATCGAGTCGCTACCTACTCAAGTAGGTTACCCTGTTGACGCGTTTGTGCTTGTGACGCCGGAAGCCAGGTTCACGACAAACCTCGTGCGCACGATACGTGTTGTAATTCTCGCAGAATTCGCAGGTTACAGGACACACGATCGGCTTTTCGTGCACGAGTGGTTTGCACTGAAAGCTCGAACCAAACTTCCGAACGTCTACACCGAAAGACACGCGCCCTAATAGTGAGGGTTTCATGATGTCAATTCCAAGAAATTTCTTGCTCTCATCGGACGCCTGATATTCATGCCGTAATCTGAAATGAACAATCTACGGTTCAAAATCACTACTACACGAAACTCGGCAGGCAGCACTCCAGCGTTGACTTGATTTGACTGGCCGATGCTGGTCGACCTGGCGGTGACTTTGTCAAACCATACAGATTTGACATAAGGGCAGTATACAATAATCCAATTCTTGAAGCAAGGGTCAAACGAGTACAATTGTGAGCAAATGCAAACACATATAAATAGCGAAATGAATAAACGGCAACGCGCATCCCAAAAATCACGAGGCCGATATCGGCTGGAAAGCGTGCGATAACCCCAGGTCACACTCGGGGGGTAAACCTGATGTTCCCACCCACTTTCCAGCAGGTTGCTCCAGAGGGCTTGCGATCGCTGCGAAGTGGTAATTCTCGCGGTTGGGATTTCGAGAGATGTAAGCGGACCAATCAGGGGAGAGCTACACTTCTTTGAAACCCAGGGGCTGTCAGAATGTTATAATTGTCTAGCCTGCAGTGGGGTACTCCATAGTGAGTACAGCCCAATTAGGGTTTGCTATATGTGTCCAACTGCTTGCTAGTGAACCTGCTCCTTTCTTCATTCTTTCTTTCTACTGCTAATTCTGACAGGGGCTACCCCAACAGCTTCGGGTCGAGCCTGCTCACATGGTTTGTTCTCATTTTTCGGAAACCAAAGCTGACCACGGGAACTGTACACGTTTTCATAACAGCAGCTACGTTCAACGATGATATAGATGTCTGACAATCGAGACTCTCCATAATGAGGTTCTATTGATGGGTTTCGCTAGGTGGCAGCCAGGATTTCGTGCACCAATCACAGTTGTCCAAGTCGCTGTAGCAAAACAGTCGCTCGCTTGATGTATTTCACCACCCTATCTCGCCCATTTCCCTCATTACGTTGTGTTGGGTGTCGAGCAGTCTCCCGACTGGTATGTCACGGGGCGACGGTGGTGATCGGCATTCATTTTTTCGAATCGCATTTGCTATTTTGATTGTTTCTGTTGCGCGTGTCCGTGTAGTCCACAATATATCGGCAAACTGATGTGCTTGTTATGTCAGGTTGTCCTGTTTTGGTGTTATAGGCACCGTATGGTTCTGCCCGTAGTTCAGGTAAAACTGCAGTTGATGCTTCCATGATGAGGGGTCATCACATGTGGCGCGAATCAGCTGCTTCGTGGTTTGGTTTGTCCTTTCTGTCTGTCCATTAGTCTCAACTCCAGGTGGTATGATGGATGCGTCGTAATCAATCGTGAAGGAAAGAGACGCGTCGGCAGTAGCCACACCAGGGCTAGGAACAACACAAGTATCTACACTAGAAACACAAGCAGCAACGGGCAGAGATATTTTCCTAGACACCCGCAAGCAAACAAATCCGTCAGCACTTAAGTCAACAACATACATGCCAGAATAAGCAACATACATTGACATATCAATCACACGGTAGCCATGACTCATCAGAACCTGCCAGCGAGAGGGCGCCACCTCACGTCCATGACGGTGACGAAAGAGGTAATCGAGACGACTGAAGTAGCGCGGAGCGAAGTGGTCGGGGCTCTCAGAGAGTGCTAACATCGAGCCAGTTAGGATCTGGCATTGGCAAGGGCCAATGTTGCGAAGATAACTACTACAACGGGAGCTAGACTACGGGATAGGCACGGGTGCTTATGTGATCTCTGCGTTCGTTGGTCCTTAGTCGTTTTCCTAGTGCTCACACTGCTTGCTAGTTCACGGGGCAATTTGGCAAGAGTTTCACTAAGAAAGTTGACAACAATGGTACAATCAGGTTGGCAAGACAAGACTACATCGGAGCTAGCATTCAGGTCGGTCGACTGCCAGCGCAGCATGGTCGACCGCGTTCCAGCACGACTTGGTCAACCGCGTTCCAGCAGTGCAAAGTCGACGGCGTGCCAGCGTTGCTCCCGCAGAATAGCAGCGCACCAGCTTCGCAGGTGCTCGCAGATGATTGGCGTGCTGAGCCTTGTCACCTGCACAACGCACACACCAAGTCATCCTCGTGCTGTCGATTCCACCTGATCCGCCACGTCGACCTCGGGATACCACCACCGAGGTCAGTCTCGCCAACATCGCCTGGGCGACCGTCGCACTCTTCCGCAGAACCTTGTCACCCAGGTAACCTGGTCGACCGGGCAACCACGTCGACCAGGTGCTCCTGTATGTGCCCGTCGACCTCCCAAGTCGACAGGCACCTCCATTCGACCTCACCAGGTCGACCACACCCCTGGTCGACCAACTCCAGGTCGACGTCACTCCTGGTCGACCAGCCCCACGTCGACCAGCACAGTCGTCAGCCGACCACCCAAGTTGGCTACCAGAAGTCGGCGTCACCAAGTCGGCGCCGACTTCCGGGCTGACCTCTTGAAGTCGGCGACCTCCCAAGTCGGCGACCTTGCAAGTCGGCGACCTTGCAAGTCGGTGACCTTGCAAGTCGGCGCCGACTTCCAGGTCGACGTGCCCCATCGCCGACCACCAGTTGAAGTCGGCCGCCGGCTTCCCAAGTCGACGGCATTGCAGTGGCCACGTGCAAGTCGACCAACCCCGTCGACTAGCTCGCCCAAGTCGGTGTCGCCCACTGCTGCAAGTCGGCTGTACCTCCCGTACACCCAACCACGAAGTCGGCTCCGCCCAAGCGAGGACGGGGCCAACAACAACTCCCGTTGACACTCCCCTGCCGCATTCACGCTTGGGCCCCCAGCCCACACGGCATCACTGCTCGGAGAACAGCTCGTCGGCGTGCACCCAGCACACAGCACGCCGGTCACCGCACCAGCCATGCAGGAGGGCATGGCACCTACTGCTGCACGTCGTTGTCCCCGTTGCCCACGTCGACCAAGCGCACCTGGCCAATGGCAACGGAGCACCGGTTGAAGGCCGGATAGTGCAGCGCCTTCGTCAGGAAGTCGGCCGGCTGGTCAGCGGTCAGGATGTACTTCAGT